CCCTGAAAGATATTATTCAATCTAAAAGATTTAACACGCGTCCACATGAGCTCCTTTGTACATGGCAACCTGTCACCTTCAGTTAGAATTAGAGCCAAATCCCTGGTTACGTGATACTGAAAAGGTATCGCTGTGATAACTATCTCTCATGGTGTTGAATTACATTTTTTTTCACTTCTGTAATTACTGCAACAGAAAATGTATGATTTTCTGCAAAACTGAAACATGCTGTTAGATGCTTCCTGCACCATTTCAACTGATGTTGATCTGTTTGGCTAAAAGTGGAAATTTTATTTTCAATTATTTTTAGCAGTTCGGGAACTGTGGGAAAGTGGGTCAAATGTGTGTTTGCGACTTTGTCTTCCAAATAAAAAGTGTGCCTGTGCCTTTAGGTGAGATTGACCTAGAGATGCTCTCTGAGCTCCATAAGAAGCACCCAGGGGTGACGGTGGATAACGAGGTGGTGGAGCCTAGCCGCCAGCAGCTATATAACTACAAAGGTACAGTCTTTACAGGCACACACTTCTCTCACACAACACAAAATGAATCATTGTATTCTCAGCTGTCCAAAATGGGGTTCAGTATTTATTTACAAGCAAAACAGGATATTATTATATTTTTATTGGTGAAAAACAGCATCTTAAGAATTCACCGGTTCATATATTAGCAGGAAATAGTCCTTTAACCACCAGTGGCGTTGTAGAGTTTAGCCTTAATGTCTGTAAGAATGGACCCGACTAAAGCATCTTTGAGTAAAACACTGAATCGTTACGAGTTTCAAGTCTGCCGCTGTCTGACCAGGATCCTTGCATACATTAAAGCTACAACCAATTACTCACCCAAAACTCCTATAGGCACGATATCTGATTAAAAATAATGCATAAAGCAGGGACTCCCCCGTTCCTCATTGTTGGTTTTTGTTGCTGGTTCTTTCCATTGTTCAACTTACAATCTAATGAGAGACACCTTTGCTGTTTAAAAATGTTTTAAAGCATGTTGAAATCTTTTGTTATTTGTGGAACTGATCATAATTGTCCCCTTAGATTTGCAGTTCAAAGAAAACAAAAGGTGTTTAAGTTTCCCCAAGATAGCAGACACATGCTGCGTTTTTACAAATGATGCAACATGAAGTGTAAGCCTCTACAAGAAGGGATGGGCGAGCTTATCATCTTATAGGCTGGATGGTCTAATTTTGCCACGTGATCTGCTTTGCAGAGGATTTCCAGACTTTCTTATTGACTATGAATTTGGTGAAAGTGTGATTGGTAATTGGTTTTGAAACAATTAGGACTATTCTCCTGGAGGTGTACTTCATGGCCTTTACCCCTCAGATGACTGGGTGTGTAAGAAATAGCAATATGATATGTAAGAAAAAAACCTCTTTGAATGATTGAAAGGTTCATTCTAAGGGGATTGTAATGTCGACATAGAGAAATAAAGTAAAATGTATGACATTTAAACTTTGCTCCGAGACATATTGATAGAGTAAATGAACCTCCTATTTTCTGTTGGAGAAGCAGCATTCCACCCACAAAAGACCTACCAGCCTACGACTGCAGATGCAATTAGCTCATGTAAATGAATCCATGAACTTACGATAAGTTGAATACCTGTTATGCTGGAAGTCAGTGGTGGATGCACGAACAGCAAAGAGTTTCAAACACACTGTAACATTTTAATTTCAATGCGTTGTGATCATTCTCAAAGGTCTCTGTGTGGTTGTGCCAAGTGGTCTCCATTGTTTTTAATGAAGTGTGATGCAAAACAAGTGCGTTGTTTTTAGGGGGGGGGTGCAAATTACAGAAATGCTCTCATCATTGTGACAAGTGTCAGCTCCGTTGTGGCCTGAAAAAAAAAATCAGCCACTCTAAGCTGTAAAATTTCATGCCAGCTTTATTTCGGTGTTAACTTGTAATAAATAACTAAGTAATTATCTGTCTGCAGTTTTAGTGTCACAGAAACCAGATTTAGATTACATCAAGTTCAACTGGAACACGATGACTGCCTCTGAGTTTGAGGAGCACTGGAAAGCCGAAAAGGCCACCAAGAAGGTGGACTTCATTCACATGATACAGGTCGGTGTCGATGAGCATACCCTGTGTTTTTTACACAGCTGGGTTACATTCATTTCTGGCAAATGGCAGCAGTAAATCCAATTAGAACAACTGCCTGGCACAGCGTTATAATTAGGCATTCTGTGAATGCAGTTAGTAGCTCATTATCTGTGGTGAAATCGACAGATGCTATACTACGTGAAGGATCCTGAAGCAACTGTCAGATTCTTCCAGGGTCTTCTTGGTAAAAATGGGAAGCTTCTCATAATTCTAGTGTCTGGTAAGTGGATATTTTCTTTCTCTCATGTGGGCGATTTAATTATGGTGCAAATAGCTAACGAACATACTGCTTATACATGCAATACATTTGGAGATGAAAGGTTTAAAACAGCATCTTACAGAAACAACCAAACCTTTTCCAGCATTCAGTTGAAATATAGTACACGCACATAACTTCAGAATATAGAGCAGCAGTTATACTGCTGTTTTAACTTATTTATTTTCACTTAATTCAGTAAAAATGTTCAAATTTATTGCTGCGAAAACCAAGAGTGGCCAAAACTCAATTTACTAAGACACCTGCTCTCAGACATCTCATGCTGCCATGCTGCCCAAAACCAGTCTCAACCCAAATGAGATTCTTCACAGCCAGTCCTTCATTTAAAAAAAAAAAAAAAATGCCTTGATATTAGTCTGACCTTTTTCCCCATGTCAACACTAATGAGTCCATAAATATTGCAGACAACAAAAGAGACAGTTTGCTAGCACACACCGATCTCCTCGACATCTTCAGTGTATGCTGAGGTTCGTGTCATCTGCTTTGCTCCTGGTATGTGAATCCGTGAATGTGTAGATGCATAAAAATGCAACTTTTAACTTCAAGACAAAAACCTTAAACAGGGAAAATAAACAAGGCTCTGAGTGTAATCCTGAAGGAGCTAAAGCTTTTTCTTATTTCCTACTTCCCTCTGAGTCTTTCCTCTGAATTTATTAAATACCTGAGCTGCGATGTAGCAACGTGATCCATGTAAGCATCTCCGTGGTGAAAAAATTGCTCTGATGCATATGAGGATGAATTCTCCCCGCATTGTACCACCAGCAAGTCATTATTCATTTATACTTATTCAGTCAAGTATGATTCAGTTTCTGGCCAATTCTAGACAAAAATTAGGATGGTGACCGTGCTAAACACCTGCTTGTCAAATTGTCATTGTTGTAATATAGCCTCTTTTTCATCTGTTCCAGGCAAGAGTGGTTGGGGGAAGCTGTGGCGGACATACAGAGCACAGCTGTGTCAACCCGACATAAGTCAGTGTGTGACCACTGGAGACATCAAAAGCTTCCTGGACTCCAAGGGAGTGCGTTACCAGAGCTATGAGCTGCCATCTCAGATGGATATCACCGAGTGTTTCACTGAAGGGGATGAGAAGGGAGAGCTGCTTCTTGATTTTCTCACTGAGGTGCTGGATTTCAGTAACACAGCTTCACCTGAGCTCAGAGCTGGTGTCCTGGAGATGCTTCGGCACCCAGACTGTAGTGTAGAGTCCAACGGTAAAGTTATCTTCAACAACAACCTTGAAGCAATAGCACTAGACCAGCTCTCCTAAACATGTACTGTCAGTATAGTAAATGTAGGTGGATCACATTGTTTGATTTATTTTGCACTTGATGTATATAATAAGCTGGGTAGAGGATATCTACACACCTGCTTCCATTTATATATTTTGTCTACTTACTAATAAAATAATGACTCCATAGACTGCTGTTGTTAGAGCATTTCTTAACAGTTCTGTAAAATCAAAGGTTATGCTTGTATATAAGTGAATTGGTTATAACTACTGTTTGTTATGAGTCTCACAAATAAGTCGTAAACTGCTTCGGACATTAGCTTTAGATTTCACCGTCGTATCATTTTTAATGAGCTGTATTTGGCAGGCTTCGGTGCTCCACTGCCAACCCCATTATGTTGTTTTCATTGGAACATGTATTAATCAAAATCTAAAAGTAAACAGAACATTAAGCAGTTCAGTTTTCCATAAAGGCTGATCTATTTTAGATAAGCTGAAAGGTTGTAAGCTGTTTGTTATACAGAAAAACTTGAAGATGATATTTATTTTAATGTGAGAAGTAGATGAATTCAAGTCGCTGCTTATACTGGACGTGTATAAAGCTGAAGTAAGTTACTTATACAACTGATTCTAAGATGAAGCTGTCACAATAGCATTTTGAAATTAAGATGGTTTATACATTAAAAATAAATTGTTTTCCTAGATGAGTAGATTCATCGTAATCATGGCGTTGTGACTGATTTGGGGATTGTTTACAATAACTGTTACAACCTTTTGCAGCTTAAATATATTTATGCTCCAGAATGTCTTTTCAGCTCAACAGCTTGTGCTGTTAATATTTATAAAATGGTAAAGATGATGTATGCTGTGGCAGCAGATGTTCTGCAGACACTACGATATAGCTGAACTTTTGGCACCATCTTGAGGACAACTTTACTTACTGATCTGCAAACACAACCATGTAACCATGACATGTAATGTATGAAATCATCTAAAGCAGTGTCTGTGAAGGTTCTCAGTCATCCAGGTCACCGTAGTCTAAAGAGCTTAGAAAGAAAAGCATCTGGACTTCTTTAAGTTGCTTCAAGATGCTGCAACCCTCATTCAAGAAGCTTCTTCAGTTCTAAATCTAGGACCAGAATCTTAGACCATCTAAAGCGGTGCATGCTTTGCATATGTTTGGTTAGTGTTAAGGGCAGGTGAGGCCAATTGAACAGGTTGAGGAAAGCCCACTATTTCTGTTCTACAGAGAAAATGTTGAAGCCCAGCCCATTTGTGGAAGAGAAGAGAAACACCACAACTTAAAAGAAGGGGGAGAGCAGTTGGGTCTCTGCCCTCATTCGCCACAACCAGTCCAACAGTTCAGGACGCCCACTATTTGTGCTTTAGAGAGACTACTTTGAAGCCAGCCCACTTTGTGGGAGGGAATGTAAAGTGTGCAACTCAAAAGAAGGGGAAGAACTCGATTTCCACAGAGGCTACAGCTATTTAAGGTATTTTTTTTTTATTCTTATGATGTAACTATATAATTAAAGTGTGGTGAGCAACTTGATTATGTTGTTGTTTTTGATTTCTGTGCATTGCAGGAATCAGTCATGGCTGCAGAAGCACAGCACACTTGTTATGAGGGTGACAATGTCCACATTTTCCAGTTCTATCTGGAACACTCAGGAGAGCACAAGGCCATTGTGCAGTGTGTTAACAATCTCCTAGCAAGAGAATTTAAAAGGTACAGCAGGAAATGAAATGCTTGAAGTAATAACCCATATTCCAAGCTAAGAGTAGGGGACAGACTGCTCATGCAGCACTACAGTAATGACTGTACTCAAGGGTTGGAATATGAAAACTTTGACGTAAGTTGCATCTGTGTCCTCCACTTGTCAACAGTAGATGCTTTATACCGCCTGAAGTTCCACCACAGTATGGTCTCTGCTAGTTTATGGAAAGTCGTTTGAGCATTTATCCATTTAGTTAGCCAGGCTTAAATTGTTGCCTTCCTTATGTTACGTGCTGTTTTAGGGAATGGGGTAATTTAGCCCACCAGGGTCTGTGCAGATAACTTCAAAATGTCTTTTTAAAGGCAGAAGAAATTGCCTACAATTTCATGCAAGCTGCAGTGCACGCACACAATCTGAATTTTCATTCAAAAACTCAATTTCTTTCAGATTGTCCCTACTATGTCAAAACAACCCATTTGGTGCTAAATTGGATCAGCCTGATGGATGATGCTATGCTGTGATTGGTTATTACATTTTTATCCGTATTTGTCACACAGCTATTTAAAACAGACGGGAAGACTAGAAGAAGGGTTTCTTGTCTCTTTCACTGCCGCACAGCCCTCTTATAAAAAGTTTCTTTTCACCATGATCTCCTGAATATCCACAATTTGTCTATTGAAATAATGTTAACTTGTGCTCAGCAAGACTGGTCATTTTTTTAATAAACCCCCTGAAAGAATTCAACAGTACACTTGCAGTTTATCCTTTACACTTGTCTTTATTCACTTGATAGCACAAACATCTACTGTTTACTTAACTAAATGTACCTCACCAACTTATTTATTAAATGAAAAATGCTTTGAGATATTCTGTAGTCTGATAGTTTGCAATAGATTAAATTCCATATTGTAAGTGAAATGCTTAATAACAAAAGATGTATGGCTTTCAGCTTTTACATTTTCATATTTTCCTTTTAGATTTTGTGATCGTTTAGAGGTTTGGGCTGATCGTTTTGAAAAGCAGCTGTCATGATGCTCTTGCTTTGAGCTCTGTAATTCGTTTTTTCACAAAAGAAAACATCCATGCTTTCAAACAGTCACTTCTTAGATGCTCTTTTTAGACCACCATTCAGGAGTGAAGCTGTTTTAAAAATTAAGCAAGAAGCTGAGCCGTGTACAACCCACTGAGCTGCCAACCCATCTACTCAATGATCCAGTCTAGCACCAGCCATAATAAATTAGACAGCTATAACACAGACTGTATACGCATACTGTACACTTTCTTTAACGGTTTATTAACGTTCTTATTTTTGATGCAGGATTGGAGAGGGTAAAAGCAGCCTGGGCGTTCTTGGTGTTGGAAGTGGTGGAGGTATGTGATCAAATATAACAATAAGTGTAATATTAATTGTAGTAGCATTACTGACCATTGTATATGTGTGCTGTGGTAATTCTGGCTTATTTTGTCATGTGGCAGTGTGAAGTGGGCAGGAAAACTGCCCAAAATGCAGGCTCACAAACAGGACTGAACTCAAAACTCTTTAAGCTTTATTACTGGAAATACAGAGGACATGAAACCAAACTGGGGAAAACTAGGAAACTAACAAACAGCCAGAGTATGAGGGAGATGCAGACATAAATGCACACAAGGGGAAATGAGGGAACAGAACACAGGTGGGAACACAGCTGAAAGTAATCTAACTAATGAGACAAGGAAGCAAAACTGAACATAACGCACACAGCACAGGAGGCTAACAAAGGAATTATGAGAAACCCACACTGAGACACAGACTGACTAAACACAGGCAACAGGGGGAGCGAGAGAACTTAACATGCATAACCAGACATGATGGACTACACAAGGAGGCACAAATAACTTACACAGGAGATGTTGGAGAAGACACAGAAGCAAGACCGAGAGACTGGCCATGAGAGGGATCTAAATGATTAAACAAGGGCTAGGAACTAGAACTTAACAAAACTCAGAGGCACTCTAAACTGAATATCAGCATCTTAATATTCTGCAAAAACAAAATAACAAACTCAAAAACGGGTCAAAGACTCAAGACCATCACATATTTACTTGTTTTAAACCAGTGGTTCTCTGTGGCAGTCCCCACAGATTAAAGTGGAGCAGCTGAACGAACAGGGTTTTTTGAAGAAAATAGTTTTCTGATGTTTATTTCACTAAAATGTAATCCTGGATACTTTTTTTTTTTTTTGGTTTCTGAAGTGAGACATGCCAGAAAAAGTTTGAGAATCGCTGTTATAAAGCTCCAATTAAACTGATTACCATGCCCTTCAAAGGCGTGCAACAAAGAGAATTCATAATAACAGTGTCTGTGGGGGCATTAATACATTAAAGTCACTGTCAAAGCTATTGCAGATTGCACTTGGCTCCACATATGATCAATATAGGTCATAGATCACTGCGGTTATTGCACAATGACATCAAACAACAAACTGTTAATGATTCTGTTAATCAGAATGATAAGAAGTATTACACACATCTGCGTTATATATATTTTTGACTTTTCTAAATAAATTTCAGGTTTTTTTTAATGTGTTCTATACTATATGTTTTGGAGCATTTTCATTTTAAAGCGTTATGTGGAGCCACAGGTGTTCAAAATCTTCTTACTTCCTGATTTTTTTTTTCTTTTCCCCAGGTGAGGTGGATGCTCAGATCCTCACACTGCTGCAGTCTGTATTCCCTGCTGTTCCTATTACTGCTGACATTGTGGAGGGCAGCTCTGAACTCTCAGACAACTTCAAAGGTACTAACCATTCACATTCACACCACATGTTGAAATATTTTTACTCTATTTTCAGATGGGTTTCCTCTTCAGGCTCTTCTTTACCTTTCTGAAAAGCCGATGTATTAGTGCCAGTAGTGAAAGTACTAACATTATCAGCTGACATTTAGAGCTTTCTCAAAATGCCAAAAGAAGTAGTTACTTTGTGTGTTGTTAAAATTCATCATGCACTCATTTGTGTTGCAGTACCTGAAAATTGTGTAAAACGTGCATACATCGTCATCTGAAATCATTTGTTTCACTTGTATTGTCTGTTGTTATGCATAGGAACAAACCCCAAACTACTCATACGTCTGCTGATGTTACTATAATGTGAATGCATCAGAAGTTTTTTGGTTCTTTGTTTTGTGGTCTTCTCATGTACACCAACGAAGAAGACTACAATCGCATCTCCCCATATTTATTTTTACTTTTCTTTATATGTTCTTAAAGTAGTTCATTCTCTTAAATGATGTCTGCCAGCGTTTTATCTCAGTGTAATCAGTGTTTTGATGTATCGCATATACATAAGCATAGATCTCAATGTTATTGATGGCTATTTGGTTTTGTTCATCTTAAAGCTTTGGTAGCAAACACTGCCAGTCTTCAGAAGATCCCATTTGGCTGGAACATCATGAGCAGCGAGGACTATGTAAAGCAAGTGAAAACGAAGGGCGAGATGAAGAAATTTGATTTCATACACATGATTCAGGTATTACGAGTTTTCCTTCTGCAGATTCATGGCAAAAGAATAGCGGGAGCACATTGGCTTTGTCACTCTATGGTGTCTTGTCTTCTCGCCTAAGGTGGGATTGTGGTGAGCTAAAATCTACTGCAAACTATAAAGTATAAGTATTGTAAAGTGTAATATCCTTGTCTGACTCTGTTAACAATGAGATATATTTGGGTCCTCACTAAATCCTGCACTGCTGCTTGAATTCAGTGGGGACCGCAGTGGGAGTAGAGTGTATTCTGACAGATAAATGTGTAATTAGTGTGATAAATTGTCAAGCAACCTCTGACGAAATGTCCTGGCAGATTTATTGTAAATGATAACACTTAATTCATTCAAGCTTTAGAAAGTTCTCCCCATAATGTTCCCCCGTACAGATGATCTATTATGTGGAAAACCTTTGTGAAACTATCAGCTTTTACCACAGCCTTCTAAAAGCTAACGGCAGACTTATGATCATCGTCGAAGCAGGTAAGCCGAACTTGATTTTAATTATCCTTAATTAATTAGTCCGCAGTATAACAGTTTAAAGGTGTCAAATTCAGATTGTGTGAATGTAAAGAAAGTATACTATACATTTTTGAGAACATATTTGTTTTATGCTCCTGTTTTTACCAGAGATGAGCCTTGTTTCAAACATATTTTTCTCTTTGCGCTGGAAGAATGGTGCCCTCTTGGGGTTATATTTTGTATATAAAATCCATATCTGAGCATTTTTGTTTTGTATTTAATGCATTTGAAGGGGAAACTTAAAAACAGCTACTTTAGGTTTAAATTTAAGTTGAATTAAAGTTTATATTCCATTAATAATATTGAGTTATTATATTTATAATGAAGTTCTGTTAGGTTTGCACATAGCTGGCCTTCAAGGAGCTACTTTTTACTTTTAGATTTTGAGTAAATCCTCTTGACTACTTTTGTTTGAAGTATTTTTTTATTCAGAAATGTATGTGATTTTCAATATCACACTATCCAGCCAACAGTGGATGGGACACCTTGTGGAAGACTTACAGCAAGGAGCTGTGTGTAGGTGTCATTAAAGAGTACCGTTCATCAGCAGAGGTCATTGCCTGTCTGAAGAGCCTGGGTCTGAAATACGATGAGCATTCAGCTCCCAACGCCTTCGACATTACCGAGTGCTTCAATCCAGGCAGCTGCCATGGAGAACGCCTGCTGAGTTTCATGACAGGAAGCGACAAATTCCACAAGTCCTTCACCCCAGAGATCAGAGCGGGCATGTTAGATCTTCTAAGGAGAAAGTGCAGCGCAGAGAAGGATGGCAAAGTGTTGTTCAACAGCGATCTGAGCTGCATTCTTGTTCATGCTTAAATATATGCTGTGGAGAAGTGTCCATCTATTCCGCTGGATCTTTATTCTGTAAGTTTGTCAGAAAGAATGAATAAAATCAATATAGTTCAGTTTATCTCGAGTGAGTAAAAGTTGTGGCTGTACAAGAAGACACATACGTTTAGCTACTAAGTCGCTTTGATCAAACGTTGGCCTTTTTCGAATCTGTAAGCAAGTTTAGTATCGGTATGACCTTTTAAGATAAAGTCTCTATAATCTATATCTTTACAGTTAGAACAGCTCTAATGTGTGGAAAATGTCAGCTCTTGTGATAAAGCCACAGACAATAATCACCCGGCTTTACAAAGTTTTCCAGTTATTGCTCTGTATTTACAATTTTTTTTTTTCAGCCATCAAGGTTGTTTTGTTCTCAGTTGAATCTTAAACCTAAAGAAACATTGGATGCCAGTGTTGTTTCACATATGCAGCATCTGTAGCCTAATTAGGCAGCTATTCCGTAATTAATTTTTTTAAAATCAGTGTTAATATGACATTATGGTTTGCAGCAGATTTAACCTTTTTCATTTTTATCTTACAGTATAAAAAAATAACAAAGCACTTTATTTATTAGCAAAATGAAGACAACTTTTGGCATAGTCTTAGTTGACACAATGTATTTTCAAATGGGATTAAAAAAACATTCCAAAAGATACTAAATACAAAAAAAGAATATTTATTTTATAACATTAATTATCACTGATAGATCATACATATTGAGTTGTGCTGAGCTGGCAGGTCTTTGCTGAACTCTGATTAAGGATGTGATTAGCTGATCAATATTTATCATTGTGCACAATCTGATATCCATGAGGTGTCACATGATTAGCTAGTTCAAACATGAGTTCAAAGAGGGAATCTTTTTTTTTAATTTAAATAAACTGCTGTTCACAATAAAGCCTGCAGATGGTGCTGCAACTCTCAAAATGCAGGTGAACCTGCATTATGCTATGTTGCACTAACTCCACTTGGTGGCATGCTATCCCTACATTCAGTAAGGCCATGACAGCAAACGGTGGAAACTTTTATTAGCCATATCAGTGTGCTTAATATTAAGCATTTAATTCCCGAGCTACCAGTGGTTATTTGACTGTTACATTTTCAGCCCCCACTCGCCCAGTTATTTCATTTCTACACTGGCGTTATGCCATCTGCTGTGGCCACATACGCACAAAATCCAGTGGAACGGCTGAGGTCTTGTCTCAAGCTATCTGGCAAATGTATTCTGGCTGTTCATTTACCTCATTAGCTTTAATAGATCAGTAATTGAAATTCATCAGAAATTCTTGTCAGTGCACTCCCCCCTGATGTCAATGGGCTTTCAGCACCTGCTCAGGCTCCATTACTGGGGGTCCTCGCTGGGCCCTCTCATACCACAGAGTGACAGAGCATTAGTCACAGAGATAATCAACCTCAATACACTGCTTGCCACTAATGTTCTTCAAGAACTATTTACTTCATGTGGCAGTTGGTGTCTTATCAGGGTAGAAGTTCTCCACTAGATAAATGTGATGAAATTTTTATAGATCACCTTGTTGTCCAGGTGATTGATTATACTCAGAAGTGCCGAACAGCTGGGTATTGTCATATTATTAGCTGGATATTGTTTTTATTTACTTCCTGCCACCTGCTTATTAGCTGATGCCATAATGACAAGCCACGTCTTTGAAGGGTGCGTGATGCAGATTTCTATTTGCTTATGAAACTCACAGGCTTTTTATTATGCAGACGATGCAGAGAAAGCTGTGGGTTCCATAACTACTTTCTTCCCATATTGGCCATGCAGCACGCTGGTCAGATGTCAGATGCTGCAGTAAAATTTTAACATGATTGAGGAAGCCTCTAGGTGAAAGTCTTTCTCAGAAAAGTGATCTCTCCGGTATGGCCATCTGGCGGGCAATCAGAGCTGAACTTCTAAGTTGTGTCTTCAATCTTTAGGGGCAATGAGGAAACAGGCCATGTGTTCAAAGTGTGACTACTGGTATGCCTTAAATTATGTGCTGTACCCACTAGTAGGGCTGTTTTTAAAATTATTTTCTTGGCTCAGCAAACGTCTTTGGCACGTGTTGTTAGGCAGAGAATATGCTTCATTCACAGCTGCTTTAATTCTCCTGTAATTAATGAATTTAATATATCACTGCTAAAAAGTATCACATGTAAAATTTAAAAGCTAAACCAGAGTAAAACAGAAAAACGATTTTAAAAAACAGCATTGTTTTTGCTCACTAGGAGATACCATCGTCACACCTACTGCACCTAACGCGTATAAAGAAATTACCTTGTTATTTTGTTGACCATAACTTCACACCATTTGTTTTCACGTGTAATAGGTGCTGATAGTGCACATACAGAAGCAGTGTTAACCCATAAATATAGCAACTGTGGAGGTCAAGTAATGTGCATTGTTTTCCATATGCGTACCTTTATTCTGCTGTAAAATGGTTTCCAACAGTCTTGCCGATGCTAGTGTATCCTAGAATACTAAAGCTGGTAGGGATAAACCTAATCCCAGCCACTAAATGCACATTTATGATACCAGTGCTTGCATTTATTTGTAAAGGCAAATAAAAACGAAAGCAGCGATGACATTTTTGGTATTTCTCTAATCTGAATTCACACGGTTTGGCCAAATTGACTCTTCAGATGTCTATCTTCTTTAATAATATAGCCTCTACTCTGGTTTACTCTGTATGGAGAGCCACTGCTGGCCCAGAAGCATCTTCTATCAGCCATTATGTCAGTGTGTAGCCCTCTTTGAGAAAAGAGCAGGACATAAACCGGCCCTAAAATACATCACACACACTTTAATGGGCAGAGGCTGCGGCTGGGCCTTGAAATATAGCTCTGATACCGGTCCTGTAAATGGCCGTCCTCTGCAGCATATTTCATTCTAGAGAATTAGTCCTGTTTAGCAGCCGTTGTTATATAGCAGCTGTCCTCCATAGGTCTGAGTACAGCAGAATATGGCTATTTGATTGATGATTCCCGGGACTTTTCTTAGTTTGGAATTTTATCTAACGTCAATTAGCAGTCGATAGAAAACAAGGTGGAAATTCCTGCTGAAAAATTTCTCTTCTCTTCAAGTCGGTGCAAATTCTGCTGCGCAGAAGTGATCTTATAGAATCAAAGGCTTAAATCAATCCAAGGCGATTAACTACAAATCAGAAAGGGTGGAATGGGGTGACTCTACTCTAATCAAGTTTACCTTTGTCTGTCTCATTAATCTAGCGAATCAAGGCCTTATAGCCTGATGTACAGGACCGTTCCTGTGGGTGTGAATATGGAGAATTGCCACAGATAAGATATGGCACCATATTTATTCCAGAAGTGCCATTAGTGGGACAGATAAAGCAGGACAAACACGCCACTAATTGACCGCTTCTGTTCATATTTTTGATCAATTACAGATAACACACATTTGATGATTTCATAAATCATACTAGTTTAGACTTTCTTTTTTCTAGCACAGTCGAGAGGAAAAAAGTTGAAATGAAAAACGGGCCACTTTAGAAGAATTCTATATGTGTCTGACAAACAGTGATAACAATTTTGTGAAACAACTTGATATTTCTCTAAGCCATGCTCTTTTAAGTCAATATTTGCTGGTTTGATGGAAAAAAAGAAAAAACAGACACTGTCACTTACTCGCTTTGTCAACTGGGAGAGTTCCTGAGGGCAAGCTCCTCTTTAATTACACTCTGTGACGTTTACCCCCACTAAATGCCCCTCACAAGGTTCAGGGTTTGGGGCTGTGCTTGTCATTGTGTGGGAAGTGGAAGAAGAGTTTTTTTTTAAAAAAGGAAACCTAATGCAGAATAAGAGATTTTCTCTTGAAGTTGTTGCTCAAATAGGGTTTGTTTGATATGCAAGCTGTGCTTTTATTAACTACTAGGTTTCTCTGACATGATTAGAGCAGAACTATTTTTTATTTATCTTAAAAAAAACATTTGCATACTTTTAATGTTCATAATACTATAAGTATGGATTGTGCACACTCATATGTTTAACTTTAATATATCTCGGGCTCTATAGCCACACTGGTGATGTGGGTCAGTCTGCCTGAAAGAGCTGTTCACCCTGCAAGAATTTAATTAGTCTGGGATTCAATGGAAAATAAATAAGTAATGTTTAGAGGTTTCGCGATGCTGTTGCAAAGGATAAGAAAGGAAATCTGCAGGAAACACTGAGAAATCATTGAGTCATGGCTTGGAAAATGCCAAATTAAAGATACTGAATGTTGCCATCCTAACTATCAGTGACTTCAGTGTATCGACAGAGGCCTTTCAACACCCTTATCGTTTGAACCCTATAGATGATATCAGCTATGTTTTATTACTGTTATTACTGAAGATGATGTCTTTCTCTCTCTCCCTCTTTTGCAGCTGTATTAGTGAAGAGATACAGGACTTGGAGTAAAAACTGATCATGAAACAGAGCAATCCTGCCAGAAGTTAATACCAGTAGCAGGGATATTTGTACTTAATCCCTGTCAAGAGAAAAAGAAAATAAGACCTTACATTTCCCCGCAGATCTGCTATGGCTTTATTATTCCTCATTGCATTAATCAACTTGTATCTCGTCTTCTGCTTTTATTAAATGCCGTTTCTGGCTCACATCCATTCATCGGACCTTAAATATCCTCCATCTCTTGGGTCTGAGCTTGATTGTGCATAGGAAATGAAGTTGGAAACTTTGGAGCTCTATTTAAAGCGCGAGTCCCTGATGCGACCCCTCCCTGCCTTAATAACTTATGAACAGGATCCTCTGGTCCTTATTTGGCCTCATAGTGTTTCTGACAAAATCAATTATAAAGAAATGTGAAACTCTTTGTATCCATAAACAGGTGTTTATAGCCCCGGTAAGAACCTGAACACAATAAAGATGGTCGCTGATCTTGATATATTGTAGTGCAGGTGTTCTGGGGTATATTTGTCATCTGATGTTTGTTTCTTTAAGAGAGGAAATGATTACATTGTATAGAAAAATGTGATTAGATTTTTTCTGAATTACACATAAGCAGAGAACCAACTGGAGAATATATGCACAAGTTCAGTGTTGTTACAAAAACATGAAGAGATTTAGATTTCAAAGATTTCTGACTTTGGTATATGAAACATTCAAACACTTAGCATTAGGGAACAGAGAAAATCATTAACGGATGTCACTTTACTTAAGTGCATTTGCTGCAATAGTACTTTGATATTTTTGTGCCAAATTTGTATCTATTTTTAATTTTTTTTTTCACTCAGTCCTTACAAGATTCGATCCTACTTGCAAATCAATAGAGGTATTGATGGGTGTCAGATAAAAACCATTACGGCAACCAGCTCTAATTCTTCAGCTGAATTGATTTCATTTTAAATGATCCATGTACATCCAGTGGAGCACACCACCACTGTGAGTGTGTTTTACCTTGACTTCATGCGAGAGAGACGTTATTCATCACCAAGAGAATGTCCCTTCTTCACACCCCAATAAAAAGCAGAGGAATGAAGCTTCTGTGGGTGCTGTCAACCCAACACTGCTTTATAAAGGATGACACAATTATATTTTACCAGCTCACCAAAAATGCTGACAAGCCCTGGTTCAATAAAACACAATTCTGCACCTAGAGAAGCATGCTGGTTTCTGTGCTATGGAGTCATAGCTCATGAACTACAGAATGTCATAACACTGAAATGCTCATCGAAGACATCAAACACATTTATTACAATTAAACCAGAGGAAGTGGGCATGGCAATGTTAGGAACCCAAAGTAATATAGTGTGTACAGATCTAGTTTAAGGGTTTCAGTGTTGCAATGCTCCGGACTCTTTGCATGACGGTCTCTTTTGCTGGGAAAAAGCTGCTCTGCTCATAGACAAACTTGAACCCCTTATTTTCTCTCTCAGAAATAAACAGATGACATTTGCCTGTGAGCAAACAGAAGTTAATGCTGCATTACCGTCTATCAGTCAACTTGGAAAACACTTGTCTAAAGTATGATGGAGGATGTGTCGACAACATTAAAAGACGACTGCTTCCTAAACCTGAAATCTTGCAAATTCAAAGACAGCCGGCACGATGCTCCAGACAGCCGACCGTCAACGCCCTGCTGTTTGACGCTTACTAGCGGCAGGATATTGCTGCTTCTTAGCGGACTGCGTGTTTTTTCCTTGGAGAGAGACACATCTGGCTCTGGATAATCTCTCCTTAGTCTTCTCTGTGTAATGCATGCAAAGCTGTGCTCCATGTAATTCCCCAACTGCTCTTTTTTTCTCTTCCTTGACAAGTGTAAAAAGGCCAGTAGTATAAAGTATATCGCATACAGTGTTAGTAACCTGGTCTTACTTTTAGCCATGTTGCTATATATCCACACAGATATATAAGTGCAAGTAAAGACTGGTAAGAAGTTTTATCCATTTGCATGTATCTTTTTGGGTTGTTTTTTTTCCATTCCAATTTCTGTTGCTTAAAAGGAAAAGCCCAATAAAAACAAATTTGCTCAGGAGAGAAGACTACAATACTTAATGACAAAGTGAAGGCGGCTCAAGATGTGGTGGTATTATTATTCTTGACACAAGTAATATATAAACATGCCATAATTATGCTTTGTAACAGGAAATCAGGACAAATTGAAATTGAACGTCATGCAATGTTAATGTTAATGAAATGTGCGGTGCGTAGTTGGATGCCTCGAGCCTGGAATATTATACGTACTTGCACCCTCACTTGTTTATTTATTAACAGAGGAATTGTCTGCTTCACTTGCTATCACTGAGGCTTGACAGCTGCACAGTCCAGGTGATGCATGAGCCAATATGTGGACTGGAGAGGGTTCAACGTCGCACATCAATATGAAAATCAGTTTCTGGCAGAAATAGCCCAAGGCAGTACATCCAGCACCAAAAAGTGACTAATCTTAGGGTCATAAACCCTGCACAAGACGCCCAGGGTCTTTTTTAGAGAGACAGAATTCAGAAATGCCATCATTTTCCATTCCACAAGCCAAGGACCTCATTCCTTGCATTAGCAGATTTCTTTTAATAGTGTGTGAAATGGCAGGGTTGCCAGAACTAAGCAAGAGCAAATAAAAGAGAGAGAGGGGGGGGGGATAGTGAAAGGTGACCTTAGTCTCTGGAGCGCCAGATTAAAACTTCAAATGCTCAGCCAGTGGCTCTCCTAAAGAAGCAAAAAGACCATAGGCACAATGTTACAGTAGATGGAGGTGGCTGCCAAATATCATCTTCTTACAGAAAGGGATTATGTATTTCACAAGGCAGTGGTGGTCCCATTGGTGGGAATATTAGTTCGTGTATTGTTCTCCAGATCTGCATATATTTCTGTTTATTTTTTTTTCTTTTCATGACTTTCAGAACTTCTTAGCAGTAGTCTGGTTTTAAAAAGGAGGCTTATTGTATGTGCAAATTTTTTACTTTTTGGATACAGTAAATTTACATACATGTGTATTTGGCTCAGTGTACTGTAAATAAAAAATACCATTAAGTTATTGGTAGCGCAACACATGTTTTAATGGTAGGCCTACTAACAATAGAAGTCTGATATAAGGATAATATAGAAATTAAAATCACAAGGGACTGTTTTTTACTGCTACTTACTGTATTTGTGTACCAAGATGATCCTTCACAATGTCACAATGTAAAATGTACGTTTCTGGAAAATGGATTTCTCATATGCTGATCAGCCAGCCCCCAAATTGTTTTCAACTTACTGCCACCCCTTTGAATGACTAGGCATCACATTACGTAGGTGATCAGGCAGAATTCTCGATTCACTCCAGTGGCTCGATAATAACTCTGCTCACTTAATTACTCAGTTTCCCTGACAAAAAAAAAAAGAATGAAGTAATTTTACTCATGAGGAGAGTGAAACAAAAGCTTTCCAAATCCTTGAATGGATTTCTATCTCAAAGCTCATGGTGGAGACATTTTGAACTGTAGCATCAGCGGGTGCTTTAATTACTGTTCAATGACTTTACTCTGAGTCCTTGACCTAGTTTAGATTCCTTATCAGAAACAGCCATGCTCTGAGAAAAGATTACTTTTTAAACTTTATAAAGAGGGCAGACAGAAAACAAGCTAATGCTATTGCACAAATACATGGAAAGGGACACAGCCCAGAGCAATTTGGAAAGCAATAGCCCATTCCAAGATGTGGCATCGGGCTGGCATCCACACAGCTCTTAAATTCCTTTCTCGAGCCAGATGGCTATGGAATTACACATTTTTTAATCTAAAGCATGAACGTCTGGAGGCTTGGGGAAATCTTCTTGGGATGGCCATTTTGGATTTATTTGCAGAGGAGGCAGTCTCTTGCCCTGGGGGCAACATTTGATGGTTAATATAAAGTTTGACACTGAATGTCCTGAGTCCACTTGGTGTTACTCTGACAGATAACTTAAACTTTCACAGCATGCTGCGAAGAGAGTCCAATAATGAACAATGTCTTCTTTTTTGGTTTGTTTTGGATTGGTCTGAATAGTCTATAAAGCATTTATAATTATGATAAGCACCTTAAATCCTAATAACAGTCGTGTGATATTTTGGCATCTTTAAACACTGTTTCCAGCTTATTTGTTAGCTTAATTTTAGGTTAGCATAAAGGAAAAAAAACTAGCCAGTGTAGCATTGAAAAAACGACAACACAAATAAGTAATTTTTTTTATATCACAGAAGAAATAAACATGAGTGAGAAATAGGAATTTAACCTATTAATATTGTGACCTCAGGCGGTCCAGGTTGTGGATTTTGGTTGAAGCTACAGTGTCTTGAGGCTGGAAGGGAATAATCTTAGGATGCCCATTTTGGATTTATTTGCAAAGGAGGAAATCTCTTGGCCTGGGGACAACATTTGACTGTTAACTTCAAGTTTAAAATTGAATTTCCAGGTTATACTCTAAGAGTTAAGTCAAACTTTAGTGGTACACTGTATTCGGATGATTTCAGAAAATAAACACCATCTTTTGTTAGTCTGATCAGTCTGTGGATGATATGAACATTAGCCTTACACCTGTAAACCAATAGTTGGATATTTAAGTAAACCAATACAGTTGCCGTTGATCATGTAATTAAAATGATGCAGTGCTTTTCTATGATGTTATAGGTACACAAATGCAAAAAATAAAAATAAAAAATGGGTCAATTTAGCCCATTGTTAAGCTGTCGCTAGGCAACAGGGTGAACCTATAATGTATAATTCAGCTTTTGTGGCTACAAATCTGCCTTGAAATTAAAATGACAGGATTTTTTTTTTTTTCAAATGACAGGTCATTTTAGCCCATTGCTAGGTGGTTGCCAGGCAACCAGGGAGTGTATAATGTCTGAGTAAAATTTTGTGAATGTTACCGCAACTAGATGTTACAGTGAGGGAATAAATGCTTAAAGAGGGTCACTCTAGCGCAATGCTCGCTTGTTGCTAGGCAGCATTGTAACATCAT